CTAGGCCTCCTCTTCCTAGGCCTCCTCTTCCTAGGCCTCCTCTTCCTAGGCCTCCTCTTCTCTCTAGGCTTCCTCTTCTTCTTATCTTTCTCTTCTAAATTTTAGGTAAGGTAGCCTATTAGGATAGATAGGTAGGTAGGTAGGAAGGTAGGAAGGTAGGAAGGTAGGTTTTATAGGGTAGTAGTAAGTAGACGTTGTAGTATAGAGAAGTGTATTTAGTATAAGAATACGTCGGGGGTGACGGATGGCGGTTGGCCGCTTTGGCCGACCGTCGTCCGTTCTATTACGGAGGCCCAAAGTGGCCAGCCGCTATACGTTACCCCCGGCTTTCTTTGGCTTTATCTTCGTACTACTACTTCTACCTTTCTACTACCCTATAAAACCTACCTTCCTACCTTCCTACCTACCTACCTACCTACCTACCTACCTATTCCTATAGGCTACCTTATCTAAAATTAAGAAGAGGAGGCCTAGGAAGAAGAGGAAGCCTAGAGAGAAGAGGAGGCCTAGGAAGAGGAGGCCTAGGAAGAAGAGGCCTAGGGAGAAGAGTAGGCCTAGGAAGAAGAGGAATAGGAAGAAGAGGATACCTAGGAAAAAGAGGCCTAAGAAGAAGAGACCTAGGAAGAAGAAGCGGCCTATAGAGAAGAGAAGGCCTAGAAAGAGAAGGCCTAGGAAGAAGAAAAGGCCTAGAAAGAAGAGGCCTAGGAAGAAGAGGAAGCCTAGAAAGAAGAGGAAGCCTAGAGATAAGAGAAGGCCTAGGAAGAGGAGGTCTAGGAAGAAGAGGCCTAAGAAGAAAAGGAGGCCTAAGAAGAAGAGGAGGTCTAAAGAGAAGAGAAGGCCTAGAAAGAGAAGGCCTAGGAAGAAGAGGAAGCCTAAAGATAAGAGGAAGCCTAGAGAGAAGAGAAAGCCTAGAAAGAGAAGGCCTAGAAAGAGGAGGCCTAGGAAAAGGAGGCCTAGGAAGAAGAAGAGGCCTAGGAAGAAGAGGAAGCCTAGAGAGAAGAGGAGGCCTAGAAAGAGGAGACCTAGGAAGAGGAGGCCTAGGAAAAGGAGGCCTAGGAAGAAGAAGAAGCCTAAGAAGAAGAGGAAGCCTAGGGAGAAGAGGAAGCCTAGGAAGAGGAGGCCTAGGAAGAGGAGGCCTAGGAATAAGAGGCCTAGGGAGAAGAGGCCTAAGGAGAAGAGGAAGCCTAAGGAGAAGAGGAGGCCTAGAGAGAAGAGGCCTAGGAAGAGGAGGCCTAGGAAGAAGAGGCCTAGGAAGAAGAGATAGAGAGAAGAGACGAAAAAGACAAGGGAAATAAGAGACGAGAGACGAGAGATAGAAGAGACTTAGGGTTAGGGTTAGAGTTATAAAAGATAAGATAAAAGGAATAACGAGACTTTCTAACGAGACTTTATAATAAGAGGAATAAGAAGAATAATAATAATAATAAGAGGAATAAGAAGATATTCTATAGGCCTATATAGTAGTAGTAGTACGGAATTAGCTAATTTTCTATATATATTATATTATATATATATATATATTTGTATTCTATCTCTCTCTATCTCTTCTTCCTAGGCCTCTTCTCTCTAGGCCTCCTCTTTTCTCTAAGCCTCTTCTTTCTAGGCCTCCTCTTCTTCCTAGGCCTCCTCTTTCTAGGCCTCCTCTTCCTAGGCCTTCTCTTATCTCTAGGCTTCCTCTTCTTTCTAGGCCTCTTCTTCCTAGGCCTCCTCTTCTTCCTAGGCCTCCTCTTTCTAGGCCTTCTCTTCTCCCTAGGCCTCTTCTTCCTAGGCCTCTTCTTCCTAGGCTTCCTCTTCTCTCTAGGCCTCTTCTTCCTAGGCCTCCTCTTCCTAGGCCTCCTCTTCCTAGGCCTCCTCCTTCTAGGCTTCCTCTTCTCCCTAGGTCTCCTCTTCTCCTTAGGCTTCCTTCTCTCTTTAGGCTTCCTCTTCTTCCTAGGCTTCCTCTTCTTCCTAGGCTTCCTCTTTTTCCTAGGCTTCCTTTTCTCTCTAGGCCTCTTCTTTCTAGGCTTCTTCTTCCTAGGCCTCCTCTTCTTAGGCCTCTTCTCCCTAGGCCTCCTCTTCTCCTTAGGCTTCCTTCTTTCCCTAGGCTTCCTCTTCTTCCTAGGGCTCCTTTTCCTAGGCCTCCTCTTTCTAGGCCTTCTCCTTCTAGGCTTCCTCTTCTCCCTAGGCCTCCTCTTCTCCTTAGGCTTCCTCCTCTCTCTAGGCTTCCTCTTCTTCCTAGGCTTCCTCTTCTTCCTAGGCTTCCTCTTCTTTCTAGGCTTCCTTTTCTCCCTAGGCCTCTTCTCTCTAGGCTTCTTCTTCCTAGGCCTCCTCTTCCTAGGCCTCTTCTCCCTAGGCCTCCTCTTCTCCTTAGGCTTCCTTCTCTCTCTAGGCTTCTTCTTCTTCCTAGGGCTCCTTTTCCTAGGCCTCCTCTTTCTAGGCCTTCTCCTTCTAGGCCTCCTCTTCTTTCTAGGCTTCCTCTTCTTTCTAGGCTTCCTCTTCTCTCTAGGCCTCTTCTCTCTAGGCCTCTTCTCTCTAGGCCTTCTCTTCTTCCTAGACCTCTTCTTCCTAGGCTTTCTCTTCTCTCTAGGCCTCCTCTTCTTTCTAGGCCTCTTTTTCCTAGGCCTTCTCTTATCTTTAGGCTTCCTCTTCTTCCTAGGCCTCCTCTTCTCCTTAGGCCTTCTCTTCCTAGGCCTCCTCTTCTCTCTAGGCCTCTTCCTTCTAGGCCTCCTCTTCTCTCTAGGCCTCTTCTTCTTAGGCTTCCTTTTCTTCCTAGGCCTTCTCTTCTTCCTAGGCCTCCTCTTCTTTCTAGGCCTCTTCTCCCTAGGCTTTCTCTTCTTTCTAGGCCTCTTCTTCCTAGGCCTCTTCTCTCTAGGCCTCCTCTTCTCTCTAGGCCTTCTCTTCTTTCTAAGCTTTCTCTTCTTCTTATCTTTCTTTTCTAAACTATAGGTAAGGTAGCGACGGATACGGCGATAACGGCGAGGTAGGTAGCGAGCGTATAGCGAGTATATGTAGTAGTATATAGTAGGTAGAAAGGTAGAAGTAGTAGGAAGTTAAAGCCAAAGAAAGCCGGGGGTGAAGTATAGCGGCTGGCCACTCTGGGCTTCCGTCTTCCATCCCCTCCATCGACGTCATGCAATCGTGTCAATAGGCACCACCTCCACTCGACGTCCACTGCACCGCTACATGTACCTACCTTACATATACATCCTATAGACAATCTGATGCAGCTCATATCCTCAACATCAATCTCCCTCCCCCTCCTCCTGATCCTCGCCTCTTGCTTCTTCACCACCTTCACTGCAGCAACTCAACGCCATCAGCAGGAACCTCTCTTGGATTCCCACCATCACCACCAAGACACCATGTCGAAATCTCTCAATGTCTTCAAGCAGCCTCTCACCCTCCATTCCACTTCTCCCATGACTGGTAAATACCACCACCACCACCACCACCTCTGGTATTATCGCGAACGTGCAAGCTACGGAAAATAATAACCATCTATCCGATCTAGGCTACCTCCGAAACGGCTACTGCGAAGTCCCCGGCTCCGACTACGGCAACCACGGCGTAGCAGCCGAAGTCACAGAAGAGTCTGTTCTTTCCCGATATCCATCCATCCATCCATCCCTTCACCCTCCACAAAAAAGCTGACCTTCCGCTCTGTTTTTCCATATTCACAGGTTCCTCGACTTCACAGCCTCACGCGGCAACGATTTACGCTCAATCAGCGGCATGAAAGGCGGCTGTAAATGGTGTTTGTGCGCATCTCGATGGCTCGAAGCCTTTGAAGCGCGAACCACGGCGAAAGCGGGCGATAAAGTTGTTCCCAAGGTGTGGTTGAATGCGACGAATCAAAAGGTGCTGGAGAAGATCAAGTTGGAGGATTTGAAGGGGTTTGCGGTGGATAAATCATAGGAAGCGTCGGAACGTTGAATGGATTGGTGGTAAGTGGACCAATGAAAATAAGAGAGGGGGAGGATAAGGGTGGACCAAGTGAGACACAGGACGAGACAGGACTGAAATGGGATATCAGGAAAATGGGAACCAGGAAAAACGTGAACTGGTGGGATATTGCAGAGTTGTCATGAGTATGGATGTACGATCTGGAAAAAGGAAGAATAAGAATAGGAAGAGGAAGAGGAAACGCAGTGCACTGCAGTGTATAATTCTCGCACCGTATGCGTCAATTCTAACAAACAACTACATGTATCTATACCTCCGCCAACGCCTCGCTATGAAATCACGTTGAGTGATGTACCAGATGTTCCACTGTGTCCCTGAGGGTATATGGCCGATGCGTAGACGCCGAGCACTTGCCCGCTGTGGTGAACCAGCGGGCATGGTATCAAGATAAAAAAAAGGACAAAAGCAACCCCTCCCCCGATGTACTCCCAAGTTTCCGTTACGTCAAACAGTCCCACGGCACCTGACAGGATCGGACAGCCTAGAAGAGACCATCAATCTCGCCCGTCTCGCCATCGAGATCCACATTGAGGTACCCAGGGGCTGTAGGCAGACCGGGAATCGTTTGGATATCTGCTGCAAGAGCATACAGGTAGCCAGCACCAGCTGCCATGCGAACATCTCGGATGGGGACCTCGAAGCCCGTTGGTGCACCCTTGAGCGCAGGGTCGTGGGAGATGGAGTACTGAGTCTTGGCAATGCAGATGGGCAGGTTGCCGTAACCTTGCTTGGTGTACGTGTCGACCTTCTTCTGAGCAATCTCCGAGAAGGACACCGACGCAGCACCGTACATCTTCTTAGCGATGGCTTCGATCCGCTCCTGGACGGAGCCCCCTTCGGTCTGGTAGAGGAGCTGGAACTCTTCTGGCTTGCTGTTCTCGGCGGCTTTGATGACTCCGTTTGCGAGGTCAACTGCACCCTTGCCACCCTCCGCCCAGTGGTTGGCCACAATGGCATCTTCAGCTCCGGCTTTGATAGCCTCCTCGCGGATGACTTGAGCTTCGGCCTCAGTGTCAGTCTCAAACTTGTTGATTGCGACAACCACCTTGACCCCGTATGACTTGGCATTCTCAATGTGCTTGGCCAAGTTGGTGCAGCCCTTTCGAAGGATGTCGACATTCTCCGTGCGGTAGACTTCGTCGAGCTGTGCACCGGCCTTGATCTCTGGACCGCCTCCGTGAACCTTGAGAGCACGAACAGTGGCGACAATGACGGCAACATCGGGTACAAGTCCGGATGCACGGCACTTGATGTTCATGAAACGCTCACCACCCATGGTGAAGTCGAATCCAGCCTCAGTGACCACGAAACCGACTTTTTCGTTATGTTCAGCAGCCTCGTCTGGCTCAGTACCAGCGAGCTTGAGCGCAATACGATCAGCAATGATCGAGCTGTTGCCGATGGAAATGTTCGCGAATGGACCGGCGTGCACGAACACGGGTGTGCCCTCCAATGTCTGCATAAGGTTGGGCTTCACGGCGTCCTTCATCAGAACGGCTAGGGCACCAGCAGCACCAATGTCATCAGCCGTGATTGGGTCACCTGCCTTGGAGGATGCAACGACCATGCGGCCTAGTCGCTCTCTCATGTCACTGAGATCTGTGGAAAGGGCAAGCACAGCCATGCACTCCGAGGCAACGGAAATGTCGAAGCCGGTCGCACGTGGTTCAGCCTTGCTTTCTGTGGGCGCTTGGCCCACTGTAATGCCCCGTAGGTGGCGATCATTGACATCGAGAACTCGGCGCCATGTAATGGTCTCCGTGTCGAAGTCCAGTCTGGCGAACCTTCTGACTTCCTCCTCAGTGAGGTCGTCTGGGTTGGTCTTATTGATGCCGAGCCTTTCCATTCGTCTAAGCATGCTAGGCAAGAACTCGCGCTTGCCCTTCTTCTTGGGCACAAGGCGGCTATACAGGGCCTTGTCGCCTTGCGTAGCCTCGTGGAACATCCTAGTATCGATGGCAGCAGCGAGTAAGTTATTCGCAGCAGTGATGGCGTGAATATCGCCAGTCAAGTGCAGGTTGAATTCATCCATGGGAATCACTTGGCTGTAGCCACCACCTGCAGCGCCACCCTTGATACCAAAGGTGGGGCCTTGCGAGGGCTGACGAACATTGGCAAATGCAATTCGTCCCAGCTGGCCAGCGAGGGCTTGTGTCAGGCCGATCGTGGTGGTACTCTTTCCCTCGCCAAGAGGCGTTGGGGTTATACCAGCGACCAAGATGTAGCGACCGTTCTTGCGGTGCTCCAGACGCTTCAAGACATCGAGAGAAACCTTGGCCTTGTAGTGGCCATATGGCTCAAGCTCGTGTGGTGCGACACCAATCTCGGAAGCAACCTTGCCAATGAGCTTGGGGTGCTGTGCTCTTGATACAGCAATGTCAGACGGCACTGGCTGCTGGAGCTTGAGTGGCAGAGGGGTGATGTGGCGGGACTTTTGTCTGTCAAAGTAGGTGTCTGCGGCACCGACCACGTTCGACAGCAGCATGGCAATGGTCATGGGCCCAACACCACCTGGCACTGGAGTGATCTGACTCGCCACCTCGACTGCACTGTCGTAGTCGACATCGCCGACCAGACGCTGTCCGGACTTCTTCGTGTCATCGGGGATGGAGTTTGTGCCCACGTCAATCACGACGGCACCAGGCTTCAGCCACTCGCCCTTGACGAAATGTGGCTTGCCAATGGCTGCAATGACAATGTCTCCTGTCTTGACCACCTCTTTGAGATCAGCAGTCTTGGAGTGGCAAACAGTCACAGTCGCGTCTGCATTCCTGAGCAAGTAGCTGACTGGTGCGCCCACAATGTCTGATCTGCCAATCACGACGGCGTTCTTGCCTCTCACATCGACCCCACTCTCTTGTAGCAGCACCATGACACCTTTGGGAGTACATGGCACGAACAATGGCTTGCCGCCCTTCTTGGCGAGCTCTCCGATGTTGAGCGCTCCGAAACCATCCACGTCCTTGGCGTCGGCGACCGAAGAGGTGACTTCGTACTCGTCGATGTGCTTGGGCAATGGCAGCTGGACGAGGATGCCGTGGACGGAGGCGTCATTATTGTACTGCTCAATCTTCTCGAGCAGTTCGTACTGCGAGATGCTCTCGTCATAGTTGTCAATGGTGCATGAAATGTTTGCTTCTTCGGCGGCCTTCAGCTTCATGCGGACATAGGTCGAGCTGTCCTCGCGGCCGCCCACCTGAATAATTTTGAGGCTGGGCTTGTAGCGAGGGTTCTTGGCCTGCTTGTCGGCAATGTCCTTGGAGATGCGCTCGCGAATGGTCTGAGCAATGACCTTGCCATCGATCTTGGTGGCCGTCATGTTTGCGGAGGTCGAGGAGAAGGAGCGGACGCCTGCAGGCTCATGCGGTGTGCTGCGGCCGAGTTGGGACCTGTTATGCAGCGGGAGGAGGAGGAGGGTGTGGTGTGGTGGTGTGGCACAATGGGAAGACCAGGCTCGGGAGGATGTGCGAGAAAAAAGATGTTGGAGGCCACCAAATTTCAGCGAAGAAAGCCTGACGCGGGGCTGGAGGCGACCACCGGCACCGATCGTCGTTCGGCCAGCTGGAATTCGCATTTCGGGGAGGGGGGGCCTGAGGTGGTGATCAATGGAACGTATGCAGAGGGCGAAAAGAGTGACTGCGGTCTCGGTCTACAGAAACAGTTCCCAATGCGCCTGAAAACAATGCCTGAAACAATGTCCTCGCACTCGACTCGCTGGAGGAGTGAAATATCGAACTTTTTTTCCCGCTGTCCCCGTATCGATATTCTGTATGGAACACCACCCCCACGCTGGCTGACTAAGGCAGGCACGATTCAGCAATCTTGGCAACAATTCGAGCAGACAAGCAAGCATCCGCCCGCCGCTGAGAAGAACGAGAGAGAAGACAGACACCACCCACACACACTCAGACACACACTCACGCCACCATGAGACCCATCTTGTTGTCTGGTCACGAGCGTAAGTATCGCCTCAAACTGCTCGCGCTATGGTCCTTACTGACTCAAGTGACACGATGCAGGCGCGCTCACTCAGGTGAAATACTCGAAAGAAGGCGATCTCATTTTCTCCGTTTCCAAAGACCACGTCGTGTGCGGCTGGTACAGCACGAATGGCGAGCGATTCGGCGTATACAAGGGCCATCAGGGTGCCCTCTGGACTGTCGACGTCGACCCGACCACCACTCTCCTCGCTTCGGGAGGCGCAGACAACACGATACGGCTGTGGGAAGTGCGGACGGGCAAACTGCTGAAGACGTGGGAATTCGGAACCGCCATCAAGCGCGTTGAGTTCAACGAGGACGGTACACAGCTGCTGGGCGTGACGGAGAAGCGCGCGGGACAACTAAGCTCGATCCTGGTCTACGACATCAACCAGGACCCAGCGGGCGAACAGGCCAATGAATACAGCATGCGCATCGTCGTGGACGACATTCCCAAGGTCACAGTCGCCGGCTTCTCCTACATGACCAAGTTCATCATCGCAGGACACGAAGACGGCAGCGTGACACAATACGACGCAAAGGACGGTTCTGAGCTGAACCATGTCTTCCCTCACGAGGAGAACTCGCCAGTCACAGATTTGCAGTGGAGCTCGGATCGCACCTACTTCATCACGTCGTCAAAAGACAAAACCGCCAAGCTCATCGATGCGAAGACTCTAGATGTGCTCAAGACATATGTCGCAGATACGCCCCTCAACAGCGCCGCCATGACACCCGAGCCCACCAACTATGTCATTCTGGGAGGTGGACAAGCAGCGATGGACGTCACGACCACATCCGCCCGACAAGGAAAGTTCGAAGCCCGTTTTTACCACAAGATCTTCGAAGAGGAGGTGGGCAGAGTGAGAGGTCATTTCGGTCCTCTGAACTATGTTGCCGTCGACCCTTCCGGCAAGTCATACTGCAGTGGTGGTGAGGACGGATACGTTCGAGTACACCACTTCGACCCACCTTTCTTCGACTTCAAGTTTGAAGTGGAGCGAGAGCTGGAGCGAGAAGGGAGGATGTAAAGGAAGCGCATGTTCATGAGCGACGAAAGCTAGATGAAGGCGAAGGATGGCATAGCAAGGCGTTGTGGCGTAAGGTACGTCCGGTCGATCGACCGACATGAGGTCTGTGAAGTGCATCAAAGCGCTCGGAAACTAGACTCTTTGACGCCGAAAAGGTAGCCTATTCGAATGACACCAGCTCGCGGCTGTTTTGCAGCACTCCTCGCTCGTACGTGTATCCTTGTGAGCACCGGCCTCACCACGATCCAGGAACCTGCACGGCTTTGCTTTTGTCGAAATTTAGTGGACTGGGGGGGGTGAACGGAGATACTGCCTACTACCTTAGGCTGGAATACGATTCCCTCTCGGATGAGAATGGATGCATCTGAATATCGAAAAGTCGGCAAGGGACAATATTCTTTGATACACTTCTACATTGTCACAGCAAAGACGCCAAGATATCTGTCTTCGAGAGGTGTATGCGGGGTTGCAGATTCCACACGTCTATCTCCCACTTCTGCTCACCACCTGCACACTTATACATATTTCCTCATATAGCTAGCCTAGCTGGACAGAAAGCAATGAAAGAAGAAGAAGGAGAAGAAGGAGAACCACGACTACATCATCCTCCCAAATGGGTTCTCGTCACCAACGTCACCCCCGGCAGCTTAGCAGAAGCCTTCACACAATCATTCCGCACCCGCGGTTTCAATGTCATTGCCACATCTCCCACGTTGCATAAATCTTTTGAACATGTCATACCCACTACAATCGGCGGGCACGAAGGATTTCTGATTCGCGTTCATCTGGATCCCACACGTCCCGGATCCCTCACTTCGGCTGTGGAATTAGTGGCCGAATTGACGAATCATCATCTCTCTTTTCTCATCAACACCACCTCTCCTTCTCCTTCGCCTTTGCCTTCTGCTGCTGAAAATGAAAACGGAAATGAACATAAAACCGAAAGTGGACGTAATAGATACAATAGAAAAAACATCACCAGCCCACTCCTCGACCTCTCCATTCCCCACGCCAAACATTTTTACGACACACACATCTGGAGTCCCCTCGCCATCACCCAAGCCTTCTTCCCACTTCTCCACTCCACAGGAGGCGTCGTGGTGAATTTTAGCAGTATTGCTGGACTTGCAGGTTACAGTCGACCGTTTCAAGGGGTTTCATCGAGCTCTCATGCGGCAATGGCCAAGTGGAATGATATTATGAGAATGGAATTCGAGCCTTTGGGGGTGAGAGTTGTTGGGGTGGTTGTGAGAGGGGGAACGAGGAGGAAAAAGAGGGAGAGGGAGAAGGAGGAGGGAGAAGAGGGCGAACTTGCGGAGGAAGAAGAAGTAGAGATGACGAGAGAGCCTGGAAATGGAATCCAAAACGGCGTCTTACATCTCCCCGAAAAAAGTCTCTATCTCCCTCTCAGGGAGCACATCGAGAGATCTTTGAATAACGATGAAGAAGAAGAAGACGATGATGATAAAAATATAAATAACAACAACCACCACCACAAAGAACTCGCAGAACAGACCATCGAAGCACTTCTACAACCTGCTGACAAACCCCCTACGATTCTGCACATGGGATATATAGTAACTTTCATCTGGTTGATACACTGGCTATTCCCGATGTGGCTTCTCGATATGATACATCGGAGTGGAAGTGGACTGGAGAAGTTAAGGACGAGGACGATGAAGGGGTTGAAGAATATGGATGAAGATGATGATGATGATAAGAAAGAGAATTAGAAAAAATCTTTCGATAGGGAAGTTGAGTTAAATACATCAGTGATTCACCTAAAGCGAAAGATCAAGGCTCGTTTCTTTTTCTTTTTCTTTCTTATTCTCATCCCCAATTTCCTTACAATTGATCGATACCTATATAACGATGCCTAAAACTTTACTTGGGTTGAATTGAATTTCTCTCGTCTACCTCTATTCCTTTTATACAGTGTATCTATAGAAAATAAAGGTAAGCACTCGACTAACCCTAACCCTCTCTTCTCTCTTCTCCCCTACCCTCCCTAGGCACTCTTCCTACTCTCCCTCTTCCTCCTACCTTGTAAATAAACCGACTGTCCTCCCTTCCTCCCTCCTTCCCTTCTTAGCCGGATTTTAATTCCTACCTTACATAGTAACTTTTTTTTCTATCTAGTTGATATAGATAGATACAGTAGTACGGAAATTGAAAAAAAAAAAGAAAATCAGATTATGAAAACCTACGCAGGCGTCGAATTTTTAATTTTTGATTACGAAGATCAAGTATTAGTATCAGCCTGCCTTGTAAGAAGAACTTATACGTGGTGGTAAGTTAGGTAGGCAAGTATACATAGGTACAAGTTCTCTTTTCAAAACAGGTAGGTACCTGTGTCCAAGATCAAGGTAAAAAAAAAAACGAGCCGTGACTGTTACAGGCCGGTACATCAATATTATGACACACGCTATGTAGGGTATTTTGTAGGTATTTGGTCAGTCGTAAATTTCCAAAGGCGCCAACTGGTCAATGTTGTACAGCCAATTCCCACCACGTTCCTCCTTCTCCAGCCTATAATTGGTGGGTTAGAAAAAATGAGCGCGCAACGTCATGCAAAATGGGATGTGTGGTACTTACCAGTCATACGGCCACAGAACGAGATGGCCCTGGATGAGATTCAGCATCTCTTCGGCCTCTTCACTGGACATGACATCTTCGGCTGGCGTTCTCCCACTGCTTTTCGTCGCTCCACGCTTGCGCCCAGTCCGTGGAGCCTCGAGAGTCTCTCTGGGAGGCGTGCCGTTCGTCTTTTCGTCGAGCGGCGGCGAGGGTGTACCAGCTGGAGAATCTCTGTGGGGAACCTTCTCGTTGCCTTCATCGACATGTGCTGCGTTTTTGCTTCCAGGACGCAGCTTGTCCACCAACGATTCCATTGCGTTGTGAGGAGTGGGGATCGAAGGCATGCCGTGGAGCGCGGCATCACCAGCACCTGGAGGGCCAGACTTCTCCGGTGCGCCTTCTTTGCGAAGGGGCCTGCTCGAACCCAGCCCCTGAGACTGCATGAATGCTTCGTTGTAGGCATTGAACTTCTCGTAAGCTTTCCAGTCCAATACTTCGGAGTCCGGCATACATCGGAATACCTGTCGATATATTTTGGTATTATTGTCTGCGAGCTTGTGCCACACATCGTGGTAGAAATCCAGTGCCAGCGGATCTGCCATGCAATCCTCAGTGACCTTGGGCTGGCGGATGGCTCCGGCGAGAGGATTCGTACCCTTTTTGCTCCCCGAGGTCTCGGAAGTGTTTCGCGTCAGGGGTGGGCCGCCAATGTCAGTGTCGTCAAGTGCCGGTAGCTCGGGTAGCTGAGATCTAGGCAGTAACCCGAGCGGCACTGTGTCGGCGCGTTGTGTTGGCCACGGCGGACGAGCCGGCAACTTCTCTCTTCGTTCGCGACTGAACCTCTTCTGTTGCCTTCGCTCCTCGGCGTCGTCGTGTCTGATACGATCACACTCGGGGGCGTCCCTCTTGACCATGACCTCGCGGCCATAGTCATCAATGAAAGTGTCTCGATAGCCATAATTGCCCGACTCCACCAGTGTTTTCATGTTGTCAAAGCCCAGGCCCTCCACGTCCAGGTCGCGTTCGGGACCCTTCCTGCCGGTGGGATCCTTGACCATGTCGCTCGAAGCGTCAGAAGGAGAGTGACTATCGGAAGCAGTGGCCACAGTGAGAAATTGAGACTCGGCCTCGCTGTACATCTGTGAAGCACGGGGTGTCTGGGGTGGTGATCCGAGACCTCCAAACTCGCGTGATGGCGTGCCATACTCCTCTCGATAGATGCGCTCCATTTCTGCATCTTGATGTTCACGCTCCACAGCAGCTTGCTCACGCCGGTAGATCTTATCCACATCGATTCCAAGATGCTCTCGCATGAGTCGCATTCGCAGAGTGTGCGCGAACTCGCCGACCTCGTAAGGTTGCCCTGCCATGGTGCTCTGTAACATGCATGTATCAGTGACAATCGATGCCACTTCCGAATCTCTGTTACCCAGCATCGAACGTTCGTTGATGTTCGCGGAGCCAATAATGACATGTCGATCATCCACAATCATACATTTGGCATGTATATACAGCTGCTCGGTGGTCAAACACTTGCGAGGACCAATCTTACCCCATTGTCGCAATGAGTAAAAGCGTATGTAATCCTCGGGGTCAATGCCTACAGCGCGCAAGCGCGCAAAGATGGATGTTTCGCCGCGACAGATGCTGCGGAATTGACACTGCATGATCAGTCTCACGCTCGTGCCATCTTGCGCGTCGACACTGTTCTGGAATCCCGGCATGAGTGGGATGACGAGACAGGCTTGCCACTTCTCGCCCTTCTCGTGCGCGCGGATCGCGCGCTCCACCAACGCGTCGCCAATCTTGTTGTGTATGGTTGCGGCCTCCACCCGGGTGCTCGTAATGAAGAATTGATTCTCGATGTAGACAAAGTGGTCGGAGCTCTGAATGAGCGAACAGTAGGCATTCATGATGCTGTGCTCCGTCTTGCCAGGAGTGCCAATCGACCACGAACTGCATGATCGTAGTATCTGCACCTGGCACGTGCCACTCATGCCCAGGCTGTCGAGCTCTTCTTGATCATACTCGGGCGGTGGCATCAAAACAGGAGTCGGTCTTGTTGGAACACGTGAGCGCAGCACAAAGTTCCACCGTTGCACGAAGTGGCGAGCCACGTCGCGTGCGGGCTGTCCGACAATTTGCATGGCGATATCATGCCACGGCATGCGCGGCACCTTGGTTCGATCGTACATCTCCTCGTATGGTTTATCGAGATTGTAGAAGTCCTGCACTCTGGGATTGGAGTAGTCTTTGCCCGGCCACACTTGGCAATGCTCATAATCTTTCGGCAGGTCGTGGTCCGGTTCGAAGCCCGTGAGCTTGTCGTCGGTCAAAGAGTGACATGGATCGTCCCATCGCCCGAAACACAAGTCGACGCCGCCCACGAACGCCAACATATTGTCCACAACCACCAATTTCTCGTGATGAGCCCAGAAGAACTGATTTTGTCGGAACTGATTCGGAGAGCGTTGCACAATGATGTTCGGATGAAGGTCAAGCAGAGCCCATTTGGTGTACTCCGAGTCGATGGGGATCGCAGATTCGATGTTGCGATAGACGACGACAAAGATCTTGACACCTTCCTGCGCCTTGCGTTGAAGGAGCCGATCGAGGCGCCATTTCTGGCTGACTGCAGCAGGCCGTCGAAGGTACAACTCCGGGCTGAGCCACCAGTCGTGAATATACACAAAGTCTTTCGCATTGTCGATGGCGCGAGAGACTTGCCACATGTGGTCTCTGCCATCCACCAGCCAGCGACACCAGACATTATTGCGTAGGGGCGCGAAGCTAGCGAAGCGCTGCTTCTTGGACCACGGAGTATTGTCTGTCATGTACGTGATCGACTCTCGGAATTGGAGATATTGCTTCTCGTTCCTGGCGTGAAGCTTGAGCTTGCGCTCGGCATTGTAGAGCGTGAGGAGGTGTGCCTTCTTCGTCGGAGTGGCATTCTCTCCTGCAACTTTGACCATCTGATGAGCAGTCTGCTGTTCAGAGATCCGCTGTTGTGGCGGCGCATCTACTGCAAAGTCAGAATCCACCAAAAACACGTCGTAGGGCACGAGTGACTCGGGTCCATCGACACAGACGACATAGCTGTGGCGCACTAAAAACCATCGACGCTTGTGCCGTTCCTTGAAATGTCGAGGACCCAGTGTCTGTATTGTTTTCCGATTCAACTCTCGGTGACGCCTTGAGGCGATCTGTAGCAGTCCTTGCTTGCCTTGGTAACCACCCTCGGCTGCAAGTCGAATGGCCATGGCCGATATCTCGAGAAACTTGCACAGGCGTGAGCTATCTGCTCGAAAGATGAGCCATCTAATCATATGCTGGAGATAGACCTCCAACTTCTGTCTCGATCTCTCCGCATACACCTGTCTCTGCCGGGCATTCAGAGTCTCTGGATCCGCCGAAGTGTTACCAATCTCGCTGGTGCTAGTTCTTCTAGGCGGAGCGAATGATGACTGTCTTCGTTTGTGGCCTTTCGGCCGGGATTCTGGACCGGGCGTACCGGGCGGTTGCTCCGGGATACCATCCAGGTTGGAGGAGAGCGGTGCGCGTGGCGTATCTGCGCCGGTGCCTTCAGGCTCGTCGTCCTCGTCCTGGATTTTCTCGAACAGTCCACGCATGCCTCGAGCGTACGGAATGACACTCTTTGGGAATTTGGGCATCTTTGCGAGTTTGTGATCGGGGCGACTGAAGTGTTTGAGCTGGTCAGCGGCGGTCTGACTCTTGTACTTGAAGTGGAGGTTGACAAAGTCGTTGACAGAGCGATGTATAGTCCAATTCATGCGCGATGAACCACTGCCATACTCCAGGTCGACCTTGTAGATGTAGTCTCGGTCGCCCTTTTTGTCTGTACGGCTTTGCACTTCAGGTATGCTGATTTTGAGCTGCTCCAGCAGAACAGGAACTTTGCGATGTTTATGCTCGTCACGCTGGAACATGCTGGCAAAGATGAGGACAGCAGGGGCTCCTGCAATGAGCTCGGCCATCAATTGAGCGGACTTCTGGTAGTCGACCTTTGCACGCTCATCCTTCTTGCGTTGACCCAGCATGCGAAGCCCAGCTTTAACCTGTCGCCATTTCTGCGCACTGGTGCTATTATGCCGATCTGCGCGCTGGCGCAGTGGTGAGCCGGTCGCGTCGAGAACCAGTCCTCCGCTCAAGCCTGCTGTCAAACGACGCAGGTTCCCAGGTCTCTTCTGCTCCGATGCCTCGCCATCTCGTTCACTTTTGCGAGCAGCGTAGCTGAGTCCCCGGGCTCCATCAACACCACGCCGCCATGCTCGTCGAACACGGTCTTTGCCTTCATCTTCTGACACCCCAGCTCTTGCCGCGTCATCGTCCTCTTCGGCTGCGTCCTCGACATCCGTCAGCGTACCTCTCCTGGAGGCTTCCGTGGTAGAATTGTCTCGAATATGTTCTCGCATGAATGACGCGAACCGTGAGGTTCTCGGCGTGGTCGGTGCCGAGTCAGCGCCGGCAACAATGGGACTTTTACGCTTCATCTTCTGCTTCGGCCGTCTGTCCGGAGGGCGTTCTGTGTCATCTGTATCCTCCTCGACATCTGCATCCATATCGATGGTCTCTGCTTCTTCTACGGGTACCGGATACATGGTTTCGCTGCGTTCCGACTGTGGAGATAGAGCATATGGCGGAGTAATGCCGATGGCACTGCTGTTCGTGGGAGTACGCTGATGGAGTGACGACGACGATGCAGCGTGGGCGAGAGATTTGAGCCTGAGGTACAGCGAGTTCTGGCGGCCCTTGCCCAACTGATCGTTGCCCTCGCCATCCATATCCCAGGCCGAGCTCTTACCGACAGGAGTCGCGCTTTCATCGAGGACGCCTCGCGCAAAAGACACACTACGTCGTTCGGGCGGCGTCGTCGAGCCGGGCACTCCCACCCTCCTCTTCCCGGCGGCATTGCTGGTGCTTTCGGTATGGCCATGCCCGTGGCCATTGGCGAGGGCGCTGGGCAACAGTTCTCTCGTGGTCGGTGCTGGACCCGACTCGCCAGGCTGGGAGGCGAAGGGAAAGCCAGGCGAGGTGGTGACGGTAGTGGTGGTGGAGGACTCCAGGGAGGGATCAGGGCGTAAGATGGCGTTTACGCGTAATGGTCCTGTCGGTGCCTTGGGCAACGTCTTGCCATTGACAACGGCGTCCTCATGGGGCGCCGTTGTGGTGCTCTCCATGGAACGGTATGGAATATTGTCGTCCTCTCTGTCTCTGCCATCCTTTTGCATTACCAACTCGGCCATGGCTGCTGCTGCGATTGTTATTGCTGCTCTTTCCCCTATCCCAGTTTCAGCGTCTTGCGCGATTCCGTCCCGTCCTCTCACAACACCAGCGACCGCTTTTCCGTCGCCAATGCTCAACCGCAGACATCCTGCGCAGCCAGTCTCATCATTTGGGTGTTAGATGCATGCGCCGCTGCAGACAAAAAGAATTCCAGGTCAGGTCGTGGGAGGTGGCTAGGTACATGTACATACTGGGTCGTGGATGGATCTTGAACCACATGAATCTACATCAGCGCCAGCGGAACCTAAAAAGTGCATGTGGGAAGACGCGGCTGAACCTTGAGTTCAAGTGTGGAGCATCTCCCTGGGAGGTACCTATATTCAATAATTGTAATTTATATATATATGTCAACCCCCTGTCAACCCGAGCCGCCGAGGGTCTACGAAGCTTGAATCGCGTCTTGAAAGTCACACCGAGTGGCCGCTACAGTCTGGCAATATACAACAGCTCGAAGCTTGAGAGACAATTGTCCGGATTCACCACCTTCGCTGAACTGTCCCTTGCACGGTACGTACAAAAAATACACAGCGTGAAACCAAAAGGGTATCTATGCTCGCAAGTAAAACTCAGGTCCTCTTTCTCATTTCTTCAACTGCTCGCGGGCTCCCGTCACGGCCCTACTCTGCCTCACCTTCAGCTCATCGCTCTTGACGCGACTATGAGCTTGCACTCGTTTCTCTGCATCTGCCGCAGCAAGCTTGGCCTCTCTCCTGGTGCCCGCCACGCAGTCACACAGGCATCCCGCAGTAGGACAGGCGTCTCCCTTCACGTGGACAAACCACTCATCTAGGCATGCGGCGTGGCCGCTGTGTCCGCATAGAAGGCAGCAGGAGTAGAGCAGAGAGCCCTGGTGTTGGTAGGGGCTACACTTCATCCAGCAGATCGGGCACGCCTCCTCTTTCGTCTTGCACTTGGGGCATCGGAGCGAACTCGAGCTCCCCGCAATCGGTCGGCTACACTGTCCACACATCAGATGGACCTTGTTCTCACCCATCAAGTCTTCATAGACAGCAGGATATGCGGGATAGCATAACTTGCGAAGGATAGCGGCTTCGTTGAATAGTTGATAGCGAAGCAATTGCTCGTGGTACGTCGACATGATGCTCTCGACTTGTAGTGGTTGCAACCCAGCCTTCATGGGTCGTTCAAAGCACTGCTTGACCAGCGACGGCACGTCGTAAGGACTCCAGCCCAGGCTGTTAATGAAGTAGTCCACATAACTGGACACCGTCTGATGGATGTCTGAAGCGGGCAGGGGATGTGTGCATGGCAATAGTGGTCCCACCAGCAGGAGTAGCACCGCTGCCATCTGTGGATACGTCTGCTCATTACTATAGAACCCAATGAGCTCCTGTAGCATCTCCAAAAGTGTCCAGATGGCGTTCTCTTCCAGATCCACTTCGCTTTCATCAGTGAGCACAGCGTTGGGTGACCCCGGCGTGGAGTCGAGAATGGTCTCGACTGCCAATCGCGAGATCTTGTGCTGCGGAGCCTGGTGCATCTGGAGGTGCAATTCCGCTTTTTTCGACTCCGTGTGAGGTAAGAAGGTCATCTTGCCGGATGCCATCGCGGTGTCCAGATCGACTTTGTTGTCCAGCGCCTTGGAGCGGCGCTCGCGGACTTCTTGCGAGAAGGCGAAGTCAGTGGAGCCTGCGCCGCCATCGTCTCCCGTGACCTCATCCTCATCTGTTTCCAGAGACTCTGTCGTTTGCGTGCGAGATGGCCTGGGCCGGGTGGGGTGAGCAGAAGGCATGTCCAACCCTTTGTGCTTGCTGCTCTCGAATGACGCGGGGAACGATGCTTCCCTGGACCCAGCTGAGTCTTCCAGAAATTGGAAGCTCTCACCACTGCCGTGGTCTTCCAACTTCGAGAGTGGAATTCTGACGCCGCGGTTATCGACTGGGTCAAGGTTGAGCACCGTCTTTGCTTGCGAGCTCCACCGCTTCACCATCTCGCTACGCTCCGCAGTCTCCTCGAATGTCTGCCGCTTCTGCATCGCTTGCATCTCTGCAAGACTGTCCATGGTCAATCTGCGAGCTGAGGAGCTGAGTGGACGCGGAGCTGACGAAGGCGGCGGGCGGAGCTCTGAGGTGAGGGACGGCGGAAGAGCGATACCCTCACTGGCGTCGAGATCGGGCAGTGAGCCGCGGTCACCTGTCTGCGGACGAGCAAGTGGTGTGGGCACGTTGGAGGTGCTCTCTGGCACGGCGAGCTGTTGCGCAATGGTGGATACGGGCCGGCTGCTTCCTGGTGATTGCGCAGGCGGCTTCATGTATTGTGATGCACAGCGTGACGCCAGGCTTTCGATCGGTGTCTGCTGTTGACTAATCACGTGCACAGACGGTGTGGTAGTGAGCGCTCGGTACTGCTTCGCGGCCATTCGTTCGGCGAGATGATCCATCACACAGTGACTGACGACCTTCCATGTCTGTGCCGTTTGGAGAAGCCCCATCGATGCGGCATGGTCTTCATTGTCTTGAAATGCTTTGGAGACAAACGCCAGAAAGTTCTCGTCGGTCGGTGCCGCTTGAAAGTGGGTGGCCCATCGTTCCGCCATGTAGGCCACGAACTTGCGGTTGTTGTGCCCGGGAAGCTGTCCTCGGCATGCAATCTGTTGCGGGACAAAAGTCTTTCGGTTGAGCAAGATGTCGTCGAGCTTGATGGTCGCGGACACGTTCGGACTGCGCGACGACTGTGGAAGGGCGGAGACTCGGCTGTTGCTGTGGGCGCGTGCTTGTCCTTTGGCAGGCAATGTGCGGAGGAAGGAATTGTCGACGCCGTCGTCTGCCCAGCTTCTGCTCAAGAGATGGGATGGTGGGCTGGTGCTGGTGCTGGACTTGGTCTCCAGAAGAGGGGCCGGCTTCGGCACACGCCGCTGCTTTCGTGATTGTGCGGCGAAGGTGAGCTCGCCCAGGGGAGAGACGGCAATAGCCTGCACCGGACACCTGTCGATGAGCTTAGGAGCATGCTGGATGTCAGTTTGCAGGAGGGTACCTTCGCGGCCGACGGTCCACAGCAGATCTTGGGAGTGCCAAAGCATGTCGGTCGGCGCGGATGGGTACGGATGGAGCTCTCGGAAGGGAAGCAGAGGACGGCGGAACTCCCACACGTGCATGACGGGATGGTCGCGGTCGTAGCAGGCCACCACCTGCGTGCACAAGCCGGCGCCGTTATCCTCGGGCATCATGGACCGACACGACGGCCGCCAGCGCGCGTGCATCACGGGATGTGGCGTCTTGATCTCCCACGCCGCCCGCTTCGGGCGACTGCCGGAGACGTCGAAGACGCGGATGGTCTTGTCGCTGCCGGCGGTGACGATATGCTTGCCGTCGGGGTGCCAGTCGACAGTATTGCACGCCAGCGAGTGTGCGGGGACTCTGACCTTGGCGGCTTTCAGGTTGCGCATGTCCCAGCGCTGGAGCTCGCCGGCATCAGTTGCAAACGCAAAATCGAGGCCTTCGGTGGGACTCCACTTCACATCGCGCACTCCATCGCTCTGGCCTTGGAACTTGCGCTTGCTCGGAATGTCGCCCACTTGTCGCTGGTTGCGGACATCGCGAATGTCCCACAGCCGGACCGTGCCATCCTGACTTCCGGAGAGCAGCAGACTGCCCTGGTGCGGGCTGAAGGTGACGTTGTGTACCTGTCGTTGATGCTCGATGAGCTGTGCCGCCTGTAATCCGGCATGGCCCAGATCGTAGACGATAATCTTGCCGCTGGACGTGGCGGCGGCGACGTAGTGGCCGGTGTTCCCCTTGGCCCAGGCTACATCTGCGATATCGATGGAGTAGATCTGGCGCGGCTGTCCCGATGCCTGGTTGGGCGTGCTCCGGATCTTGGAGCGCAGGTTCAAGTCCTCGGCACAGCGGCCATCTTCAATGCGGACCGTCTTGAAGATCTCCTTGCCGGCGATGAGGGCGTGCGTGCCGCTCTCGTTGATACTGAGCGTCTTGATCTCCAGGCCGGTGCGGTGGCTGGCGGTGGCATTCTGCGCAGCACTGAGCGAGGCCGATCGCATCTGGCTGCCGCCGTATTCAAAGCGGTCTTCTTCCGGGGCGGCGTGGGCGTGGGAGTGGGCGTGGCTGTGCGGGCTGGGAGGTCTCGAGGCAGAGCCAGAGCCAGAGCCAGAGCCAGAGCCATAGCCGAGGAATCGTGATGCCGCGTCTCTTGCCCGCTGGAGAGGTCTTGGATGGGGCGCTGGCAAGGGTGGAGCTCTCGGCGGAATAATCAGCGCCGCCGCCGCCGCCGCCGTAGCCGCAGCACCACTTCCACTTCCACTCCAACTTCCACTTCCGCTCCCACTTCCGCTTCCACTTGCGCTTCCTTTGCCAGAAGAACTGTTCGCCATCGCGGCGATGTGCCCCGCTGCCAGATCCACAGCGGAGATCTGGCTGTTGCAGCGGGAGATGTCACGGGGAGCATGCTGCGACGGAAGAGAGACAGGCAGCGGGGAGAGTGAGCGCGGTCGGTGGTGTGGCGCGTCTGCGAACAGGTACAATGTCGTGTCGGGAACGAGGCTTGGCGTCTGGGCGCGTTCACTTCGCGCCCTCTTTTTCTTCCCTCACTCATGACCACCAAGACATCTCGCACGCTGCATGCGGTGAGGGTCTCAGTTGAGATGATGTAGGTAGATGACTCTCTCTCAACACTACTCAACTGATCGAAAGAATCATGTGTAGACGCGGATATCATCTGATTTGATTGGGGAACAAGAATTCTTCCAACAAGAAGCAAGGAGAACAGAATGAAGGCATCATGCACATCTATTGAACATGTTCATATACTAAAGGTATGTATGGGTATCTCTGATATTACATGGTGTCATCGTGTGGCCTCCTCCTTTTCCCCCGCCCCTCCGAGAACGCCTTCCTCCAACGACAGCGATCTTATCCACGACATGTCGTGGTCCGTCCTCTCAGCGACGACCAGTCGCGGGTCGGTATTGGACCGACTGTGAGGGATTGTGAGTGACCCCGAAAAGATACGCGAGCTCCTGCACGCCGAGCCGTCCGAGATTCGCGGCCGACTTCTCGTCGAGTGCTTCCGAGATCAGCGCTCGCTTCTTCTCCTGGAGCTCAATAATGCGATCCTCGACCGTGCCCTCAATCAACACGCGATGGATCGTGACGGGACGCATCTGACCAATGCGATGCGCACGATCAATCGCCTGCTCCTCAATGTACGGGTTCCAGAACGGATCGAGGATGATGACCTGGCTGGCCACGTTGAGATTCAGCCCGGCATTGCCCGCTTTGAGAGACACCAACATGATGCGAACATTCTGTCGCTCGTCCTTAAAGTCATCGACCGCGTCCGCTCGCATGTTGGCGCTCATGCTGCCATCGTAGCGGCGATAGACGTAGCCCGCTCCATCAATGGGAATCTCCATCAAGTCCAGCAGCGAAGTCCACTGGCTAAAGATGAGCACTTTCTCGCCTTCCTCGGCGTTCATGACCTCGTCCAGAATCTCCATCGTCTTGTCAATCTTGGCAGAGCTGACATATGTCTTTCGGACATGTGCCAGATACTTCTTCTTGGATTCCTTGTTGCGCGTCGCCTTACTCTTGAGATCGGCCAATGTCGTTGCAGTCATCTTCTCCTGCTTCTTCTTCTTCTTCTTCTTCCTACCTTTACTCTTCCGGCCTTTGCCTTTGGAATTATCCTTCTGCTTTCCCTTGCCCTTCCCTTTCGACAGCTTGCCTTTACCAGCCTTGGCGAAGATACCGTACGTGGAGGCGGAAGGACCAGCGACACCTTCTTCGACCTGCACATCCCCTTGGGGCTGTGCATTGAGGCCGCCATGATCAATCTCACCATCTTCGTCCACTTGCTCACACTTGACAGCCTTTTCCTTCTCCTTCTTGAACTTAGTATGACCAATATCGTCAACGTGACCATCAGACTCATCCTCTTCTAAATCTTCGTCATCGTTAACAATGAAGCCTCCGAGAGTGTTGTCGCCTGCGTCTTCGTCTTCGTCTTCGTCCTCTGTGCTCGAGTCAACGTCATCGCTATCGCCGTCACTGTCTGCGTCATCATCGTCATCAGATTCGTCCACCATCTCGTCTCCACCTTCCATTTCGGAGCGCTCCTCTGCACTGAGCAGCTCCGGCATGTGCACCTTTTTGAAGCTGTTGAAGTCAGTCAGGCGCTTCGCATCGATGCCTCCACGGCAGTTAGGACACCGTGCACCCCCGTTCTCGTTGCCTTGTTGGATCGCATTGGCCGGATCAGCAATTTTGGCAAAGCATTCCGAGCAGGTGTCATGCCCGCATGGGATGAATATCGCAGGATTTGCGACCGCATCGTAGCAGACTGGACACTCAAAGTTTCCCCCTGTGGCCTTGATTCGCTCAACGACTTGAGGACTCAGCTCCCTCGCGAATGTGAGCATCTGTTCCTCGGTCATATCCGCGGCAGCAGCCACACCAAAGTCCTTGATCAAGTGTGGATGGCAGCACGCCTGCCTCAGTCGTAACAGCAAAACCAATATGGCGGAGTAATCTCTTCCTACTGTGCCTCGTCGGAGATACTTGTTGAACTGCAGTTGGGATTGTGACTCCAGAGCCTTATAGAATTCCTGCTCGTCCGTGCTGAATTCTGGCTTATCAACAGTGGTCGATCGCTCAGGCAAGTGCAGGATCGGCTCGCCCTCGAATTTGCTCTTCTTTGTCCGTCGCAACATGATGGACTTGCACAAGATCTGGAACTGCCGCATTGCGCGATCCCGGTTGAGGGGGTCGTGAGCGGACCGCAGCGGCGTGTTGAAATCGACACGAAACTTTTCCCAGCGGTTGTATGGCCGAATCCCCAAGAACTTTACCAACGAGTAGAGCTCTTCCACGTTGTTCATCATGGGCGTGCCGGTGACACAAAAGCGATACTTGGCTTTGAGCATGCAAGCAGCCTTCGCAGTCTGCGTGTTCCTGTTCTTGATACATTGCGCCTCATCGAGAATAACGCGGTACCAGTTGGCATTGTCGGCAAGAAAGACCAACTTTTCGTGAGCGTAGGGAACTGCGTCAGGGTTGGACTTCTTGCGAAGGGCAAAATTCTCGAGCTTCTTCAGCTCCGTGGCAATAGTGCCGTATGTGGTAAGGACCACGTCGTAGACGCGTAGCTCGTCGAAGTCCTTTGCCTTCTTGGTACCATGATGAGTGTAGACGGACAGCTGCGTGCGCGGACCGGGCTTGAGCTTCGTCTTGATTTCTTGCGCCCATTGTCGGAGCAGTGCCACCGGGGCGACGATGAGGGTAGTCTTGCAGCGCGGGTCGTCGGACTTGCGTGTGATCATGAGTGACAACATCTGCACGGTTTTGCCAAGACCCATGTCGTCTGCAAGGATGCCTCCCTTGGCGGAGCCTTCCTCTTGCTTCTTGAGCCACGTCAAGCCCACTTCCTGGTACTTGTGCAGTCTGATTGTCAAATCGGCGGGCGTTTGCACACGAAGATGAGCAGGCATGTCCTCGTCCGGCCTGATATTCGCGAGCAGCTCTTGGAGTTCTTCCTTCGTTTTGAGAGGATCGTAGTTCGCCATTGCATCAATTCGGTCTTGGTATAAAGCTTCTCGTCCCGCGTATACGCCCGGTGGGAAACCATAGCCGTGCGTTGGTTGGACGCCTTGGTAGATGAGGTCGTCATCATCCCCACCATCATCATCATCCTCGTCGTCCAGCGAGATCAGGTTGTGGTTGCCGTAGAATCGATTTCCTATATCTCGAACGTGGCCACCAAGTTGAAGAATGCCATGGCGTACTTGCTGCCACGATGGAACACTGTTATTCAACACGGGAGCACCAGGTACGCGCGCATGCAGACCATTGCTACCAGGGGTACCGGGATATGCACCCGGCATCTGATAATGGGGCTGGACAGGTCTCCGTGCCCCAGCATTCTGGCGGTAACTGGGGGTAAACCTGTTGGGTGCGATCTCGGCCACATCTTCTTCATCCTCACTGTCCGTGTTGGTGAGGTCCACAACGGGCGCTGGCTGGCGTGGACGATTCGCCAATTGCTGCTGAGTGGAGAATGGGGAAGGTTCGGGTTTGACTTGTGTCTGAACGTGAGTCGGTGATGGATGGAATCGGGGACGTTGCGAGGATGAAGACTCTGCTTTGACGGGCGGGGGCGGACGATTGAAGCGGCCATCAAAGTTGAGCGTGGTTTGCACATTCGGTCTCGATGATGAGGCAGAAGCCGAGGGTTGGTTCGATGGGTGTTGCTGGCTCAGCTGCCGGGCGAAGGCTGCGTCCCGCAGCATTATCTCGCGATGCCTCCTCGCAGCAGCTTCCGCGGCTTGCTGACGTGCGAAGATTCGCTTTCTCTCTTGGTCTCCTGAGCCGGGACCGGGCGGGACCAGGTCATAAGAGGCGTCGGAAGAGGTCGGCGTTGGTGCATTGGAGAGATCAGGAGTTGGGCGCTTCGATGCCTGTTCACCGGTGTGCAGATAAGAGGACTGCGCCCGCGGACGCTTTCCGCCATTTGCAGGCATGCCAAAGGGAAGGGCAGTATCCGAGCTCAAAGGATGGGGGTAACTGCTGCTGCTGCTGCTGCTGCGATGGTTACTGTGAACGCTGGCGGGCTGACTCCCTGGGGCAGTGTTCCCCGAGCCGCCTGGCTGAGCACGGTATTGAGCATCCATGGTGGCGGGCTGGTCGAAGTGGTGATTGCTCGCTTGGCTTAGAGGCGGCGAGGCAGGCCGTTGCTGGAGGTGTGCTTCGAGCTTGGCCTTTTTGGAATTGAGCGTCTGTTGGTGGGCGAGCAAGTCTTCGAGCTTATGTTGATAGTCCTCATCGGCAGTGTCGAGAGTGTCGATGAGGACGGCGTTGAAGGCGAGATCATCAAAGACGATGTCGAGCTCATCGGCGGCGTCGGCAGCAGATGTGGCCATGGTGCACGTCTTGGCGTGAGTACCAGTCGATAGGTAGGTAGTGTAGGTATGGAGCAGGTGAGGTTACATGTACGTGTAGTTCTACCTCAAGTCACTTCGTGCGTGCGGGCGGGTATCGGCCGTCCGTCCGCGCCTCAGTGACAATTGAGTTGGTGCAAGAAGGGTCCGGCTTGGCGCAAGTTCGTCTCCAACCACAGCTTGCGATGATGATGGCTCCAGGCTGCGGTGATGGCAGCGGTGCAGTCAGTACTGTAGTAGGTCACTGAGGGGAGTAGTGATGGCGGTCAGTAATGTGAGTGTTGCCGTGGGCAAAATCACCGCGTTCCGTCACCGTCACCTCCAGGCTCCAGTATCTAGGTGTGAACTCCTACTTCTATGCCGGGCTGCCAGCTCCGGCCACACTGCGTTGGCGGACAGCAGCAAGTCAGCATGTGACCTGTCTGAGCGTTGGTATTGAGGCTGCAAAGGTACCCGAGTACCTCGTATGTATTCTACCCGGAGGTAACATGTATACTGAAGAGGTTAGTAGTGGGTAGTAGGAGGAGGAGGAGGAGATGAAGAGTAGAAGTCTTATTCTTCCCGCGCCGAGAGGACCTGGGACGGGACGAGGGAGGTAGAAGACGCGCACTTTCCGTACTGTCGTCACGTGTGCTCGTGTTTGACGCGTATCGCAAAGACAGTTTCTATCTCTCAGATCTAGAAAATCAACGAGTACCTAGGTCAGGTAGGTAGTGAGTGACAGGATCAACTATAGACAACTACTAGGTAGTATACCAGACGGGACAATGGGGTTGTTGTATACAGTGGCATTACGTGGTGCCTTAGGCTCAACCACCTAATCCATGATGCACGACCAGGGTACATAATGTTGTACAACATCCTACACAAAAAAAATAACAGAAGCTCTTGTCAACATATCTCACCTCACTCCTGTGCTTGTTACTATACTGTCTCACTCTTACCACTAGAACTTCCCTCTCCAGCAGGCACCTCGCAGCTATGACACGTGTCGGGAGCGAAAAAGGCTCGTAACTGGCCCTCTAGCCATTTCTTCTGATCCTTCTGATATCCATACTCTCCAATCTGGCTAATAAAGACCGTATGCACACCAGCCAATCGCGGGAAAAGATCAGCCAAGACATTGCATACGAAGCGCGTGAGATGGTCGAAATGCTCGCCCGACTGCAGCAGAGCCCAGTAAATGTGACTTTTGGCGGTAAAGCGGGAATCATTTTTACTTCCGGGATACGCATCGCGAATGTAGCGGGTATAGGCCTTGCGATACTTGTCGAACTCGTGAGGCTGCTGTAGGACCTGCTTCGAACCTGCGGGCGTCGGCCAGGAGTATTCTGGTGTCCAGTCCCTTTTTAGCCAGTGGGGGATGGAGCACCAGCCAATCTGGCGTGGGATGGCTTCGAGACAATCCCAATCGATGAGGCCGGAAATATTTCCTCTGTCGTCGACTAGAATGTTCTGGGGATTGAAGTCCGACTGCATGAGAACAAAGTTGGGCTCATGTGGTTCGAGTTGGACAACTTCGAGGAAGCTATCCAGCATCAATTCCCAGAGCATGAGCAAACCTTTGGTCAGGCTATCGAGGTCCTCTTCGGGGTATTGGTGCTCCTCAAAGCGGTGGTGCCTTGCTGCAAGCACGTAATCTCGCAGCGACGCTCGGGACGGGACAGACTTGAATTTTCGCGCAATGACAAAGATATCTTCCGTCGTGAGGCGCGATGTGTCGCCCACCGTCGGCACCGCTTCCTCACTATCGAAGTGGAGTGCTCCATACCGCGAAAAAACCGTGGGCTCCAGCAGTCGCATGGTCTTGGCGAGGCTGTGAAGCATCGTCATGCGTCTGGCTTCCGTGACAGCAAAGTCTTCGTCTTCCTGTTGCGGCCACGCTTCCTCGAGAGGTTTGCCCGCCAAGAACGACATGACGATATACGGTGCCTCGATCTCGTTGTCCATGGTCGTGTCGTACGACAACAGGCGTGGTACGGGCAAGTCGGTCTTGTTCCGAATATATTTCATGCCCAGCGCCGATTCGCGGAGAAGCTTGCCATCGAAATCATTCCATCGAGCTGGGAAACCGCAAGCGGGAACTCGAACACACAGTCGCTCCTTGTAGCTCGACTCCAGGATATAGGCACAATTGTATGAGCCGCAGTGCTTGCTCATCAGCCTGTAGTGGGCATCGACTGTTCCGTTGTGCGTCTCGCTCACTCTGTCCAGCAAAGCAACGAGTTTTTCCTCTGCAATATCTCTAGTAGGACCCCAGTACTCGGCTTCGTCAATCTCATGCGACTCGGCGACTGCCGCAGTGACAAGAAGGGGGCAGCTCTCCTGGCTAATCTCGCCGCTCGTGACGTGATTTGCCTTACAGTTGACCTCGCCAGCGGTCTCTAAAATGTCTGTCCACCCAGCTTCATGATCCGCAGCCGGGCTGACCTCGCTGTTCTCAGGTGTAAATGAGGTATGTTCACGCTTCTCGCTCGAATCGTGTGCCTCCCCATTCTGCATCACCTCGGATGATCCAATGTCCGCTGCTTTGGAGGTTCCATTACCTTCATCGTTGGTCGTCCGGACGAGCTTCTGATGAGCAACTCCTGCCTCTGGATCAATGATGCCGTTGAGAACGCCATTTTTGGGTTCTTCGACAACCGCGACGGCCTCTGGTGTGCCGTTAGAGTGTTGTTTTCGCTTGGAATGGCTGCGACTCGCACTCCTCAAACACCATTCGCCCAGGCGCTCCCGCTTGCCTCGCTTGGATGTCGTATACACAGTCTGGATCTTGTTTGGGCCTGACATAGTTGAGTATAGATATGGACGATAGTCCTGATGTGTGAAGTTGTATAGGTACCTTGGGTAGTTGTGATTCTAGATAGGTTCATTAGTCGTATATAGTAGTTTCCAGGTCCGCTATCACTATACTATAATGTATACTTGTACTGTTCACTGCTGCTCTATATCGTTTTACAGGTACCTAGTTGTTAAGTTTTGAGCAAACTGTTTTTCGGTATCTGGCGATTGCTGTTTGTCTGTCAGTGTGAACAGGTACCTAGGCCTAGGCACTTGGCTCTTATCGGAAATCAGAAACATGGTGTAGATTATGCCTCTGTTCTCAGATTATGTATACCTGAGTGAAAGGGAAGCAGACACTTGCTCCTACCTCTAGGAGGAAACCAATGTCGATTTAGTACTTTGTGATACATCTTGAGTTCTCTTGTTTTACACAGTATATATCATTTGCCTCTGTTTGATTATTATAATTAAAAAAAGGAATTTATTGCAAAAAGAATTCCAATCGAGAAGGAAGCATTATGAAGCAATTTGAAAGACAAGAACGTCTGAATCAGAACAAGATGAGAGAGAGAGAGAGAGAGAGAGAGAGAGAGAGAGAGAAGAAAGAACAAGATAGAGAAGTTCTCACCGTCGGCATGAGCTCGTACCGGGGCGTGTGGACAGACGTGGAGCCGGTGGTGAAGTTATCCACATTTGCTTGTGGATGATGAATCAGGTAT